TCAAACATCTTGCTATAGGTCGAAAACATTTCCCGAAGCAAACATTCTGCTTATAAGTAAGCGCTTACCAGCGTCAAACATCCTGTTCCGAGATTCACGGCTTGGCCATTCGGGTAGACCATGCCGACGTTGCTGTTGCAGCCAGAGTTGTTGTCTTGGAAGATGAGATGAGGTTTGCCATTAGCCGCCGAAATTTCTGTGAACCTGATGCATGTGTTGGCCTGCCAAGCGTTTATTGCCTGTAGCACCATTGTCCTGTTTATGGACGCTGTAGAACAATGAAGAATTAGTCGAGTTTAATGGAGAAAATTCAACATTTTTATTTATTTTTTACCAGTATTAAAGGGGCCCAATCTTACGATTCTATCTGTAAAAGTAATTACTCGAATCAATACGCATAAAATCCAATCCAATTAACTTCCCCATTAATGACCAAAAGTAAGAACAACATTGTTATGGATATGATGACAAAACGCTCAAGGAGGGCAAAAGTCGAATTCATGTGCTCCTCGATGATCTTAAACATGTCATTGTTCCTACACAAATAAACTGTACGATCTCAGTGTCATGACGTGCAAGGTGTCTACTGTCAACTATAAATTATACATTCTGCGGTATCCCGAGTAGCCCATTCATATACCAATAGTTTCAAATAAGCGTGCTTTTTATCCAGGCTAATTTGAAGTCGACAAAACTCACATTCACGTTTAGTTCTCAACCTTGAATTTTCCCCAACTAGTACCAGGATTTATTTGTTCAAGCCGATTAACTTCAAGATGTAATTGAGTCATCAACTGAATTAGGGAAATCAAGATTAAAGGAGATTATAACACGTATCAAAAATATTATTTAAAATGATTGTTTGCTAGTCATTAGTGGTTGTAAGCTAGCAAAACGTGTTCTCTTGGTCTAGGTTGGTCAAAAAATGCATATCGTTTAAATTTTATCGCACTGCTAATTTTTAAGTGTAAGCATCGAAAATATCATTTATTGAGAAAATATATAGAATAATGCATTTTAGGGCTACAGTTATCTGAATTCTAGGATTGACTACAGTATTAACTTATTGATTAAAAAAAACGTCATTTAAATTTTGAAACTGGCTCGCAGTTGTCCAATATTTCGCTTCAAAATCAAACATTTCATTTTTACAGTGCAGGAGAAAGTTTTGTAGGAAAAATGCAGAACCGTTGGGAACGACTTCTTTATATCAATTTATGAAATGGCCACACATGTTCTAAAACAATACTGAAAAATTCTTTCCGTTTAAATGATTTCCTCGTCATCCACAAAATGAAAAGTGCAGAAATTAGAGACTAGGGCCTATACCTTCAAAAAAAGTTAAGAGATCGTTAAGTTCATCAGCCAATCATTGACGGCTTTTCAAGCAAAATCCACCAATCATAGAAAAGAAAGTAGAGCGTAAGTACTTACGTTCACTTAGCGAGTTTTGAAAGTATGGCCTTGTGCTAGGAAAAATCTAAAAAGACATGTCAATAGGTTTCCCACGATACGCTTCAAACATTCAAGTCGATGTTGGCGCATTAGGAATGAATCTAGCGGAATAACACCAAGTGTTGCCATGGTTAAAAAGTTAAATCATAAACATGGCTGATATATTCAATGCATAGTTGCCTATGAAGTTGAATCTGAGTCATAGTAATGAACAATTCAGTCGCACGTATAATGATTTGAGTGGCTGGTATAAAAGGTATTATGAAGATTTCGAAATTACATTCTTACGCGGAGCAAAACGATAGTTGACATAGACGTAGCCGTCGGCAGACGCCGGCCACCAATTTGCGGAGGTGACGATGACTTTCCGCTCCTGTAGAGCTTTCTTCTGCTCATCCGTGAGCCGAATGTCGCCTTGGTACAGATCTGGGTTTTCTTCAGGGTTGTTTCTGGACTGGAAAAGGAAAAGGGGACGTTACTGATGCAAGAATTTTTCATTCGAAACGTATTTTCTCAATTTATCTAGAACTAATAAATGCATTGAATTTACAGACGATTATTTATACATAATGTTGCCTGGATATTTATTATCCACAACACAGCTGATATAATAGTAGATGAACTGATTTTGAGAAAATCTAATTTAAACGAACTAAACATTTTTTCGTTGAAGAGCCCTGGGATTGCCCCTATATTTCTGTCACTAGTAAATGAATCTTATGAAACTTTGCCAACATTACCGACGAAATGGGTACCTACCAACGAATTCTTCGGGGGAAAATTCTTGCCATAAATCTTTTCACACATTTGAAATCATTAAATGTATTTGTATAAAACAGTTGCTTGTTAGTGCTGATATATCATAAGTTTATTCAAACCGCAAGTTAACCAAGAAGTTCAATACAAGAAAATGCCAGGTAAATTCATCTAATGATGGAGCAGGGGTCCGAAACATACTCAATGAATATATAATAAATTTACTTGGCATTTCTTTGCTTTTAAATTCTCAGTTGCTTGTTTATAGCTGAGTATCATCATTCACGTTTATTGCTGAATATCATAATTCATGTTGTCATATTCACCTTGATTCGTTCGAGTTCAAATAAACGAAGCTCGTCTTCGCTCAGCAGCGGCTCGTCAAGTTGGTCCAAGTCTTCAGTTCCCACCAAGTCTTCCGTTACCACTTCGCCACCCAAAACATTCTGGAAGGAAGAAAAAACGGTGAAAATTTGTTGACATTGTTTTCGACTATCTTTTTAACTCAAGTTATTCCCGAGTCTGAGAAAACGGCAAGAGTTCGTATTGGCATCTTTAGTCTAAGATTGAACATGGAAAGAATTATAATTCAAATGTTATACGAATACCGTTTATATATAAGTGACGAACATATTTATATGACAGAATGGAAGACAACCTGGTCTTCTAATTATAACCTGTCATTTTTATACTTAGTAAAATAAACAGAATTCGTCACAAAACTATTCATATCAATTAAAAAGCGCATTATCACCAACCTCATCAACTTGTGCCGATGCCAGACCGGCAACTACCAGAATGCACAGAATCAATGAGGACTTCATGATGGCCACCTTAACAACGGAGTGATGCAAACCATCGGCCAGCACCAGGTTTTATACCTGATCCATGGAACATCGCAAGTGTAGACGTAACCTTCAGTGCAAAAGGCAAGTCCCAAATACCTCTAAAGAAACCATTCATGCGTAAATCATTAATCTGCCTAATGGAATCGAAGGAGGTAATTTACGTTATTGTATTGTTTAGCTCGCTATTGGACGGTATCTAGCAGTGAACACTTACATTATTATCCTATGTTCATTCTTGTGGCAGGTTGGAGCAGGTTGCCCGTGCGGGCAAACCTGCTTTCACTGTGTGCGTACCCTTATACACGAAACGCCAATTTCGTGGTAAGCTACGATTCCCATTCTTACCTATTATACCTATTATATTATGTTATATTATATTCTTTTCTATTATATTATATTATAATGTCCCCTTACGTGGACATTATCGTTGTTGGTATACCAGTTTTATTGTCACTTGGCATATTCATTACAGACTAAAAAACTAAAGAAACCCTCGTCTAGACTTCCTGTTACTTAACAGAGCTAACTTGAAGTCAAGCCCACTTGCATTCGTTTTCCTTATCACATTTTAATAGAACTGATTGGTGAATATAGAATATCATTCATTGTGTGAACAGCAGGTATGTCCAACACAGGAGTTTGAATCGTGTTGATATGAATACAAAAAGTAACTAAGATTATTTGAATGTTAATATCGAAGCATAATATGATGAGTTTTCTTCTCAGGAATTTCTGAAAATCGGCAGTAATGACGGCACTAACAATACAAATAATTCATTTCCCTGTCTGCCCTATCAACGAAATATTGATTCGTTTCGAAATTCATGTCCGGAAACATGAATTTAGAAAATTCATTAATATTCAGCGAAAATCGTAGAAAAGAATACGGAATCTGCCCATTGAAGAAAATAATTGACAAGTTCTCGTTGAAACAGCCTATTATGATTTGCTAAGCACGATCCAAGCATCTATTTAAATGAATGGGAAGCGCTAACAGAAGGGTATATTTATAAGGGAATTAGATAAATAACTTTTACTATTCATCTTGCGTCCCTTCAAACCTTATTCAAATTTATTCACTTATTTTAGAATTAGAGCGTGAAAATCAAATCTAACTTCATTTCAATAATTTCCTGGTCATCTCATAATAGCCGAGTTCAAAT